GGTAGAGTGAGAATAATAGATTTTACCATACATAACCTTCCGGCTAATGACATATATCTATTTCCCCACTCATTCATTTTCTTAATGGTTTTATCCAACAACATTTGGAAATCATTCTTTTTTAAACATCTCAAAGCAATTTTGTTTCCCAGTTAATCTATTTCATCAACCAATTTGAATTCCAGCAGCTTTGATATCTATTTCTTCATTCTCATCAACACAGATTTACCAAAAATTAATGACAATTTATGTTGATTTATACTCTGGCCAGTATAGCTGCAGTTATTCTTTGAATCTTCTTTACATTTTTTAATGTTGCATCAGAAAACAACAATACATCATCCACTTACATAAGATGTGTAATCTTAGGAGCATTAGTGCAAATGATGATTCCCAAATCATTTCCACTACTATAGAATATATTAGTCAATAACTGAGAGCATATGATAAAAAAAAATGGAGAGATTGGGCAACCATGATAAAACCCACATCTACCCTCTATCCATTTAGATCTTGTTCCATTGATTAAAATGGAAAATATGGGATTGGGAACACAGTACATAACCGATCCAAGAAATATGTCTGAGAATCCTAACTCCATCATCATCTTCTTCAAGGTTAACCAACACATACTATCGTATGCTTGTTCCATATCCAATTTGATAGCCAAATATCCTTTGCAAGCCTTTGAATACCTTATTTTACTTAAAATCTCTTGAGCTAATAAACGATGATCAGAAATAGATCTCTCCTTTACAAACGCCACTTGCTCTTCAGATATGATCCTTGGAATTACCAATACCAATCTATTTAAAATAACATTGGCCATAATTTTGTAAATTGAATTACATAAACGTATTGGACGATAGTAAGGAGTTAAAGGATTAGTAGATTTTGGAATGAGCACTACTAAAGTATCTTTCCATTCTCTACTCATCTTACCAGTAGAGAAAAAAAAACTTACTACTTTATACACATCTCACCCAATGATTTCCCAAAAGCTTTTGAAAAAGGAATGTGTCAATCCATCACATCCTGGAGCTTTATTATTCCCTAGCCTCATAACAGCCTCCTTTACTTCATTCTCTGAAAGCTCCTTCTCCAACCAAGTCTTGTCATCATCATCCAAAACCATCCAAGGTTAACCCAGTTCTCCAAACCGCAATGTCTGTCCTTCCATTTCTCTTGAAAGAATCTTAAAAAAATATCTTCCACCTCCATAGGATTTTTGGTGAGAAAGTCATCAGGATTCTTTATTTGAGAGTTCCAATTAGCATTTCTCCTAGCATTGGCAAAGGCATGAAAAAAATTTGTGTTTGAGTCTCCTTCAACCACCCACTTCACTTTTGCTCTTTGCTTCCACCAAGTGTTCAAGTAATTGAGAATAACATTCAGATATCTTACTTTAGCTCTTAGTTGCCATAAATTTTCTTCATCTAGCCATCCATTCCTAGCTTCTTCTTCTTGGAGTAACAAAATGTAATATCAAAAATCTGCTCCAGGATCAGCCAGGATGATCTGGATCGTCCTGGGACGATCAGTGGAATGTTGCTCCAGAATGTGCCCAGATTTGCTCCAGGTGATTTTCTGTACATATCGTCCAGGCCGATTGAGGACATCGTCTGGGCCGATTGGCACTGTAGAAAATGTCGGCCTGAGAATAGTTCTGGGAACCGTCCAGGACGATCCAATAATTGCCGGTCTGATCGTCCTGGGACGATCTGGCTGATCGGCCGGCCGACTGAAGATTATAAAGCTGATTTCAAGTCATTTTGAGGGAGAGAGAAAATCATTAAAAATGAAAATATCAGCGAGGAGAGAGAAAGTCGAGAGATTTTGGAGAAAAGTTGATTTTCGGACGACGCGGAGCCGTTTTCGTCGAAGACTGTTCGGAATTTGTTGTATGCAAGTTAAGGGCACATTCCGCCATTTCTCAATGTTTCAGAACGTCAGTGTTTGGCGGAATTTTCGTCCGGATTTCATTTTTCTTAAGTGATTTCGTCCGTATCTTTTGAATTGGTTCAGTTTTTACGCCGCTAACATTTCTGTATATTGTTAGCTGCCGGGTGTGCCACATTTTCTGATTATTTTTCCGAAGATTTTTGTCTGGGTATTTTTTTATTCGGCGGTGTTTTAGTCGACTGGATTTTCTGTGTATATGAAATTTTCTGCTGCCAGATAGATAAATGTTCTGAAATAATGATATCTACATTCTGTATTGAATTGGTGAATTTTTATTTTCAGGAAAAATTCTGTGTAAAATTTGTTATGACTGCCGTTGTGCTGCCCCCCGTTTTTGTTTCTGATTTCTGATTTCTGCTCCCGAATTCTTCTGAATTGAAATGCTATCTGTTATGTGATATAAAAAGGGAGTTATAAGGGGTTTGAATCCTATGAAGATTCAGCTTAAGTGTCTGCGAAATCTGGTAATGAGCTCAAATTCTTGATATCTGTTCTGTTCCGGATCCGATGAATTCTGTTCTGGTGGCTATAAGCCACAGTCTGTTCTGGTGCCGTGAGCCACAAGAGAGGCATAAGGGCCTGGATCCTATGAGATTCAGTCAGTGTCTGGGAAGGGAGGCATAAGGGGCCGGAATCCGTAGAGATTCCGTCAGTGTCAGGGCAATTAGCTATGAATTAAATATTATCTGATATCTGATTTGATATGATTCTGATTTCTGTATCTATTCTGTAAGCAATTGTGATTCTGATATGATATGATCGGAAATTCTAATTTCTAATTTCTGTATGATTTTGACTCTGTTGATTTATTCTGTTCTGATTGGTATTTTGATGTGATCTGATCTGTTCCGTTCTGATCTGTCCGATTTGATATCTGTACGATTCTGTTCCGATTTCTTATTGAATTTTGTCTGATGAGTTTGGTTTTGGATTATGAGAGTTTTGATTGGAGGTTTGTTGCTTTGCTGAGCTGTTGAGCTCACTCTTGTCTTCTGGTGGTTTTCAGGTTTTGGGAAAGGGAAGGAAGTCCAGGAGTAGATTTCTGAGTTTTGATCAGTATAGGTACTTTTGTACTTTTGATTTTTTTTGTACGGTCATGGCTTTTCTTCTGTATTTCTTCTGCTAGCCATGTACCGTATTTGTAGATGATTGTTTTGAGGAAAAGAAAGAAAAAGATAGATGTTTTGTTCCGCTGTGTTTGATGATTCATAGTAGCTCTGTGTTTGTGTGTCTGATGAGTTTAATTATTTGGAAGATTCAGTTCAGTAACCAAATTCCAAAGCCAGATCCTGGATAAAAGGTTTGGTCGCGGCCTGGTGCGAGCGGGATCCGTCCCGGATCGGGTCGGGTCGTGACACAAAATTTCAGCCTTCAATCTCTCCTTTTCACTAGAAAAGTCTTTTAGTTTCTTCTTAGTCCAATAAAACAAATCATTTAAAGTTCTCTTGCACTTCTTGTTGATGACTTCCATGTCATCTCCCACATAGTTTTTCTTCCAACCTTTACAAACTATGTACTCTGATGTTTTAAAGGATAACCAAACATCATCAAATTTAATAAACCTTCTCATCCTTATTGTTACATCAAATAATTTCAACACTATAGGACAGTGGTCAGAAGGCACTCTAGCTAAGTGTCGTACCACTGCAATTTGGATACTTTGAAGAGCCATAGAATTCATCAAACACGTATCCAAACGTTCTAGAATTCTTCCACTTCCCACTTTATTATTGCACCAAGTTTATCTTGGACCAACCACTCAAATATCATGATAATCATTATCATTCATAAATTTGAGCATTTCTAAGGAACCTTGAGAAAAGATAAACTTCCTCCCTCCTTTTTTTTCCGCTTGGGACAAGATGCAATTGAAATCCCCACCAATAACTACTAGAATCTTCCTCTGTGATTGCTCATGAATGTAATCCCATAGCAATCTCCTCTTGTGAACCTCCTTGCTACCATATACAGTAACAATCATCAAACTTCCCTTGTTAAAGACATTAAGATCTCCTATCACACATTGATTTGAAGTCTTTAAAATTGAAAAGGAAGCTATATCAGTTCTCCAAAGAATGATAATTCCTCCAAATAATCCCTAAGATGGTAGAATAAAGAAATCCCAATTAGGACCCATGATCCTTTCAAAATCAATTCTATCAAAAGAGCTGATTTTAGTTTCTACTAAACCCACAAAGAATACATTTTAATCATTTATGAACTCCTTCATATATAGAGAGGCTTCATTCTTCTTTGGCCCTCTACAATTCCAAAAATCAATGGAATCCATTAAAGTTTTTTGGGGGAGTAGCCCCCAACTTTCCTCCTACTACCTCCTTCTCCAATTCTTCCACGGGATTTGTTCTTAATGGGCCCTAAAAATCTTAGCTCTTTTGAAAATTTGCACTTAGGCATTTCTTCATTCACACCATTATCCTTTTCCAAAACAAAGAACTCTCATGCATCCATATTTTTAACAGATTTTTCTTTTACTTCCAGTTTTCCATCTTCATCATTCACCATAGAAATTTGTAAAGTATCATCTTCAATTCCATCTTCACTAACTGAATGGAGAACATATTTTCCTTATCCTGAATAGCAGGAGCTTCCATAATCAATTTATTTTCTGCTAACAAATTAGTAGACTTCCTGACAGAGACCACTGTCTCATGATAGGGAATACTTGAGTTCGTAAGTAATCCCTTAGGATTTACTTGAGTTCGCAAGCAACCCTTCCCATCTATGCTGTTAGAGATAGAAAAAGAGTCAGCCACTTCCATATTATTATCCTGAGAGAGATCAAAGTTTTGTTCAGGCCTGAACTCCCCATCTTCTAAATGTTCAGCCTCATCACATAAGTTTCCTGGAATCTCGTGGATCAAGCTCTCTATGATGCCAGCTTCCATAACATTCTGAATTTTATTTTCAACTTCTACTGGAACCACAAATTTTATTACATATCTGAGTGTGTTTGGTTTGATCTCCTTATTCTTCTGTTTAGGATTCCTCCTCTTGTTGTTGACCATAATCCCTGGACCTTAGGATGGTTCTATCAAAGCCTCTTGTTTCCTTCCCACATCATTTTCTCTACCAATTCCATCAGCAACATCTACTCCTTTAGGATTATTTACTTTTTGACCACATTCCTTATTCACATGTCCAATCTTTCCACATACAAAGCAAAAGTTAGAAACCTTTTCATATTCGACATTTTGGAAGAACCTTCCCGCCATGCTATCCACCCAAACACCTATTGGAAGAGGTTGATCAAGCTTAATTCTTACACATACTCTTGCAAATTCCCTCCTTCCCCAATGGAACATATTACCATCCAACATAAGTGGTTTTCCAATTCTTGAAGCAATACAAGCTACATTCTTCTCATCCCAACATTTCAAAGGTAAAAGGGGAATTCTAATCCAAATTGGAGAAGAGAGCCCCTTAATAGATGGAGTAGTAAAATTCGAAGTCCACTTCTCCATACCTACTATATATTTATTTACAAACCAAGGGCCACCTGAATGAACTGCTTCAACCATTTCTTCCGATGAGAAAGAACATAAGAACCATCCTCTACCCAATGTAGTAAAGTGGAATTGTCCGAATTGAATCCATTGTTTCCTTATCTCCCAAGCCACCAAATGAGAAGGTAAATTTTTCCCAAATACCTTAATTACCAATGAATTGGACAACTTTTTTGAGTTCATCTTCTCCAGATCTTCATTTAACCTTATAGCCATTCCATCTTCAGAATAAACCACCTCCTCTTCTTTAAAATCCAGCTTAATATAAGGTTTGTTACTCCATGGATTCACATTACCCAAGCTGACTGAGCTTTTAGGCATTCCATCAGACAGCTTATCTCTATCCGGTTCATTCCTTCTTTCAGGTTAATAATGAATATTTTTGTCAAACAAATTTTAGGAATTCTCATTTATCACACTGCGACTAAGTCTAGGGATTGCATTTGAATTCCCGAATCGTCTAATGAAAATTTTTATTCCAGAAGTTGATGCAGTGTTATCAGAAAGAAAACCTGTAGATTTAAAACTATTAGGAGTAACCATATTCTTAACTTCAGCTATAGCCTTACCTTTACCTTCCACTTGCTTAATCTTCTTTGGTGATATTTCGAAAACATCTCTTATCACCAAAGGTCCTTGCCATTTAATTAGAGGATTTTGAATTCACTGTGTGGAATTCAAACACGAAAAGCCATCACCTGTAACATTTATCTTCGAATTAAACACAACTGATGGAGACCTTGACGAAGAAGGTTTCTGTTATCACCAAATGGGAAAGCTAAAATTGGTGATGAAGCTTATACTTCGTCTTTCAAAAAAAAAAAAAGGTAAGAACAAAAAAAGTAATCCGAGCAATACCCCTAGGTTCACTAGAGATTCTAATCAATTTATTATTGGTTAAAGCTCTTGTGTGGAATATTAGGGGTGTGGGTGGGACTCTATCTAAGGATAGAGTTAAGATCTCTATAGAATTCATGATATTCCACTTCTTATTTTGATTGAACCTTTGATTACTACTACTAAACTGGACTCTATTCGCATTAATTTGGGTTTTGATTTTGCTTTTGACAGTTATACAAATAAAATGTGGATTTCTGGAAAATATTTATTACTTTGGATGTTATTATGGATTCACCTCAAGAGATTCATACTAATATTTCTTTTAATCAAGTTTCTGCCTATTCTTCTTTTATTTATGTTGCGTGTACTAGAATAGGGAGAAAGGTTCTTTGGGAGCAACATGTTGATTTTTCTTTGACTGTTAATGTCCCTTAGTTTGTTGGTGGAGATTTTAACTTTATTGCTAATGCTACTGATAGAGTTGGTGGTGGACCTCCTAATTTTCATTCTATGAAAGATTTTAATGATATGATTATGAACAGTAATCTGCATGACATTGGTTTTTCTTGAAATCGTTTTACCTGGAACAAGGGTACTATGTGGCAAAGATTAGATCACATCCTCTTTAATAATTACTAGATTTCCTCTGGTCTAATTACTCAAATTAAGCATTTAACTGATACTTTATATGATCTTTCCTCTTTATTATTAAGCATTAATAGAGATACTAGTAATACTTTTCATCCTTTAGGTTTCAAAACATGTGGCTTCTTGATGATAATTTCTGACAAACTATGCAAAGTAATTGGGATGCTCATCTTCATCCTTCTCATCATGTTTATGGTAGGAACAGGATTTGGTTTAAGCTTAAAAGGCTTAAGCAAAAACTTCAATGGTGTAATAACTGTATCTTAAGAAAATATTTTCTTGTATATTACATGCTAAACAAGATGTGGATAATACTAATAGGGCTTATATGTAAAATGCTTCATTTGTTAATTTGTCCATTCTGAATGAAGCTATAAAGTACAACTTTGTACAAGTTGCATGAAAAAATAGGAGGCTTTTTGGAGCCAAAAGGCCTCCTCCAAATTCATTATGGAATGTGACTGTAATACTACTTATTTTCATAACTTGCTAATCATAATAAAGTTAGTAGGCAAATTCTTAAGATTACTTCCCCTGATGGTAATGTCATTGATAATCCTAATTTGATTTCTTCCATGGGTATTGATTATTTTACTAAAGCTTTCAATTCAAATTTTATTCCTGCTTTTAACACTGATTTCTCTTTTATTCCTTCTTTTATCACTGAGGAAGATAATTTAATGTTGACTAAATCTTCTTTTGAAAAGTAAAATTGGTGTAGTCTGAAAGACATGAACTCTAATTTTGTGGCTGGCCCTGATGGCTTCACCAACAAATTTGTTTAGAAGTCTTAGGATATTATTAAGTGGGATCTTGTTAATGCTGTGGAGGACTTTTTTAGGGGTAATCCTATTCCTATAATTTTTACTACTACCTCTATAGCATTAATTCCTAAATATGAATATAACTAATTTTTGGAATGATTTTCATCCCTTTAGTTTATGCAAATTTTTAAAAAAACTTATTGCAAAAATTTTTATGGGAAGGCTCGCTTTAATTCATCCTAATGTTATTTCTTTGGAACAAACCAGCTTTGTAATAGTAGATTTATATTGGATAATGTTTTAATTGCTCAAGAGTTAGTGCACAATTTGAATGCTAACAATGCTGGTGGTAATATCATTTTCAAAGTTGAAATCACTAAATCCTATCATAATCTTAATTGGAAATTTCTTTATACCATTTAAAGATTATTTGGCTTCAATTTGCAATTTATTAATCTTATTAAAACTACTATTGAGTCCTATTATTTCTCTATTATTATTAATAGTAAGTCTCAAGGCTTTTTCAAATCATCTCATGGTTTAAGACAAGGAGATCCACTATCTCCTACCCTCTTCATTGTTGGTGTGGAATTCTTATTGTGTGATATTAACAATCTTTTTAGACTTCACCCTAGATTGAAATATAAAATGGGTGGTGGTTCTCCCATCACTCATTTAAGCTTTGCGGATGATTTCATTATTTTCTCTAATGGTTCTATTAAAATGTTGTTTATTCTCTTCAAATTTCATAGTTCTTTTCAGCATGCTAGTGGTTTAATATTTAACTCCTCCAAGAGTTGTTTTATTCCTGCTAAATTTATTTCTCCTAATCATATTAATAGTATTGAAATAATATTTTGTTTGATTAAGAAGCTCCTGCCGTTAAGGTATTTGGGTACACCTCTCTACCAAGGTAAGAAATGTTCTCATTTATTTGATGATATTTTCTCTACTATTCATAAGAAACTTTCTTCTTGGGTTTTAAATTTTCACTCTTATGGAGGTAGGCTTTTTCTTATTAAACATGTTATGTGTTCTATTCCTATATATTTATTTCATACTTTGTGTCCCACCATAAATGTTTGTAGTAGAATGGATATTTTATTCATTAAATTCTCTGGGGTTCTAAGGCTGGTAATCGCTCTATTATTTGGGGCACTTGGAGAAATTGCTCAAGGGCTATGGATGAGGGGAAATTAGGCTTCAAAACATTTATTGATATGACCATGATATTTAATCATAAATTGTCGTATTCTTTTAGAGCTAAAAAGAGTCTTTGGGAAAAGTTTATGGTCTCTAAGTATTGCGGTGCGAAGCATCCCTTGTTTTTCGATTCTAGATATGGTGATTCCTTCAATTGGAAAAGATTATGTAACATTAAATGGGAAGCAGAAGATTTTATTCAATGAGGTTTGGGGGTGGGAAACAATTTTTTTTTTTGGCAAGATAAATGGTTGGGTAATTAATCTATTGATATTCTTTTATTTAACCACTCTACCTCTTTGTGTAAAGTTAAAGATTTTATTTGTAATGAGGGTCAGAATATTGATCTCCTTGCCAATTTTGTTCCTTATTGTATTATTAAATTAATTCTCAATATTTTAATCTATTTGGAGGATAAGGATTGAAATTATTTAATCGGTCTAGTGATGGTAAGTTAGGTACTAAACAAATTTGGAATTCTATTAGACATAGTCTTCCCAAAAATTCTCTTTATTTATCTTTTTGGCATGGTAGTATACCTCCTTACTCATTTCTTCTATGGAGAATCATGTATAATTATTAACCTGTGTATTCTATTCTTTTAAATAAGTTTTCTATATTACCTCCAAATGTAAATGTTGCTATCACATTGAGAATATGAATCATGTGTTTATTCATGGTTCTATTTCCATGAAAGTTTGGGTTCATTTTGACAATATGTTTAATGTGCTCTCTACTACTTGGTTTAGTACTATTGGTGATCTCCTTAAAGATTGGTTTATTCCTATAAAAGGTCATATTAGGAATATTATTCATGTCCTTATTTTCTAGTTTTTATAAAGTAGAAGGAATGATTCCAAACACGACAATATTAAAATGGATTCTTTAACTATCATTTCTAAAGTGAAGAATAAAATTTATTAGTTTTTTGTGGCAAAGCATTTAAAAGTTGATTCTTTTAATGGTTTTCTTCATGTGGCTTTTAAGTTTGTTCTTATTTTTAATTCCAATACTACTGTTCATAATGATAAAATTATTTACTGGAAAAAGCCTTCGGAGGGCTATTTTAAACTTAACACTGATCGTGCAAAAAACCAACTTCAATGTGAGTTGTGGTGGTATTATGAAAGATTCTAATGGTTTTGTTATTGTTGCTTTTACGGGTCCTTCTAAGGCTATTAGTACCATTCAAGAAGAAATTAAGAGTCTCCTATTTGGGATTCAACTTTACATTTCTCTTGGCATCACTAAAATCTGGATAGAAGTTAATGCTATGCTCTTGATTCAATATGTCGATGGCAATAGTTCCTCTAATCCAAATAATTACTATTTGCATAGAGATATTAAGTACTGGGTTTCTTTTATTACTTATAATATCTCTCATATCTTGAGAGAGGGGAATGATGTTGCGAACTCCTTGGCTAAATTGGCGGTTCTAAATCTAGTTGGGTGGAGAGAAAGTCTAGAGAGAGAAAGTCTGGTTTTTCAAAATTCTGTTTCAGCGGTTCTTGCTTTTTCGCGGCTGGGTAGTCCGGCGATCTGCCGGCGCTCCGGCAGGACGGGAAGGTGTTGATGGAGCAAAGGAGAATTCTCCCAACGGATGCTTGGAAGAATTATAGGAAGAATTTGGCTTTACCGATTCTTGATTCATCGGAAGTCTTTAATGGTGTCTCTAAGGTTCTCGAAGGATTTAATCAGAATTTTAAAGGTTTGAAAGAAAAACAGTTGATTATCAACGAAGGCGGATTGTTGGACAAGAAGGTGATTCCTGTTCAGGTACCTGGTAAAGGTAAGGATGTAGTTGAGGAGCTTTTACGGCAGAAGAAGGAGATTCCTTTCTTTCAAGTCGGTTATGACATTGCAGAG